ATTTTAGAGCATTTTCAGCAAAATAAAGAAGGCAAGAAACTCGTTTTAACAAACTTTAGATAAGTTAGATTTCTAAATTGGATAGCGCAAGGTATTCGATCGGCTTTAGGACCAGACTTTTTTATACATTGTTTGGAACTAAATCTAATTACCTTAGACATAGGTAGTATGTTCAACTAACTATGCTTTGGATCAATAATGGCAAGTTCAAATTCAAATACACTTGACAAAATAAACACTTAATCCTGCCTCCCACACTGTTTCCTGGYTGACACTGACGTACTTTGTATTGGTAGTTCTTCTCTAAGGAAGATGCACTGCACTCCACAACGACATTTCTTTTTACAAAATTGCAACAAAACCTTTAAGCATTTATAATAATAAACTTTAAAAAGAATATTAGAAAAGAGAGAGTCTTTTAATTACTGCATTTCTAGCTGCATCTATTTTAATTTACACTTCATAGCAAGATGTTATTACTATAACACTATTGAAAACTCATCTCATCTAATCTTGAAGAAGACATGACGAAACCACAGCTTGATTTGAAAACCGCTTCCAGTCGAATTAATGCATAATTTTAATAGTTGCAATGYTGAGTCTAGTTTAGGTTCCAGAGTGGACATGCTATATTTGGTCGACTTGTTTTTCATTTTCGTATCTCGTATGTTTATCACAGTACATCGAATTACATCAAGTACATACGTCTGAGATGATATGAAGTTGTTATAGTATAGAATTCTTAAGTGAGATTAATCAAGGTCAATATATTTTTGTCAATTTTTTATTTGCTTTTTTGTGTGTGTTTATACACTCATTCATTACATTCAAGGCCTCGTGCGACTAAAGGCTAATATTGACGTCTTTTCACTATATTCTAATACTATATTCTAAGTAGTCTGATTTTTGGATTCTGTTTTAATATGTTTTCCATTATTGACAAAAGAGTTTAGAAACTGAGTTGACACATTTTAAATTTGATTTCCACTAGTAATTTGGAGAAATCCTTTCTTAAGACGAGGCGTTTGTGTCAAACTTGTGAACACTGTTCAAACAAAGGCAGATAAAAAAGTAAACAAGCAAAAATTAAAAGCAAAAAAAAAAAAAAAAAAAAGCCAGTGTTTAGCATTTAGAGTAGTATCAATTGGGAGATTTCTCATGTTCATACAAATTGTTGAGTTCACGAATCTCTATTGTTTCTATAATCCTTCCTGGTATAACCATGATTTCACCTTCATTTCGTTTCGATATATTTCTGATGCTTGGTGATAAACTATTTATTCGTTCAACCTTTGCAAGATTAAACTGTTCATCTGATATTCTATTCACAATCTGATTTTTGGAGCAAGCTCTTGGAGAGAATATAGCATTCAGTCTTACGGATCTTTCAGGAGCATCATTTATTGCGTTGCCCTTTCTGCAATAGTGTAGAATCCTCATATACTCAATCCTGAAGGTTTTATTTAACACTCCATATAAAACAGGATTGACTGCAGCCGAAACAGACACAAGAAACGTATAAACAAGRTAAACCGGTCGAGGAAGCCCGTTGTCTGATCCCATAAACGAGTCTACGAACTCGATGACAAAAACCGGAGCCCAGCAAATGGTAAAACCAAGAACAATACCAAACAAAGTTTTCGTTATATTGATTTCTTCAGCGCTCAGTTTTTCAGCCGTGTGGTCCTCTGTTACTGCTGATAGAGAAAGCGTTCGTTTGTGAGTTTGAACAGTTTTGAAGACTCTTTGGTAGCTAACGATGATGGTCACAAATGGTCCCAACACCATCACTACAGAAAGAAACCCAGAATATGTAACGTCGATGTATTTGTCGTCAAACTGCATCGAACATGCCATTTTTCCGGGGTGAAATAAAAGATTTGCCCAACCATTAAAAAGGGGAAAAGCAAGAAGAAGCCCGGCAACAAGAACAACGACAAAAACTGAAATGATTGTAAACTTTTTGGTGAAGATCTTTTTGAAGATGTTCGGTCTTACAACCCTGAAATAACGATTCAGGGCTGTCAAGGCGATTGTATGAAGTGAAACAAAACAGAGTAGTAGAACAAGAAAGCCATGAATCTTACAAATCCATGCTGGATACAACCACCTACCAGACAACAATACTCCTTCAAGAATCGGTAGGCATAAAGTTGTAAAGATGATGTCTGATAAAGCAAGTGCGATAATATAGATATTAGTTACTGTTCGCAGTCGATGGGTCCTGAAGAAAACCCAACATACTAAGAGATTAYCAAGAAGAGCGACGACATTGATGATGAAAAAGACCAAAAACTCTAGCACGACTTGAGCCCTTGTGCGTGACAAAGCTGTCCGGATAAGTTCGTGGAATTCATCTTTTCCTAATAGTACTTTTTTTGGGTGAAATTCTAGCGCCCACTTTTTTTTGAGTGAAGTTTTCAATATTGACTCCGGTCTGTAAGTAAAGGAAAAACATTTTAGGCAATTTCATGACTCATCTTTAGGCATAGTGGGAAAGCTTTTTATCCTGATTTTGACTACACTTGAACCAGCTAATGTGAGCCAAAACATCGGAAAACATCCCTATGATTGATCCTTTGAGATTATATATCGTTTGTTGAATAAGATGAATTAAGATTCTTAAAGTGATAAAATTAAAACAAAATAGAAGAATAGCAGCCAATGAATAGGCGGTGGTTGTGAAAATAAGATGTCAAAACGAATAATTAATGCTTCCGACAATGGATAACGAGCAAAGAAATCATTTGAAGGTAAATACGTTCGGCGCGTACGTCAGAATCTTCAGACTTAGCTGAGTGCCTAAAAATAAACTTGAAACAAAGAAAGAGATGGATGGATGGATGGATGGATGGATGGATGGATGGATGG